AACTATTCCTTTCCTGTTTTCAGATCTGAACTGTAAAAATATTTATATAATTGGGTAGACAAGTCAGAAACAAAAGGTGGAACAAATGTCAAGAGGTGAGCATTGCATTTAGCTTGACTGATTTTTTAACTGAGAGAAATGAGAAAATGAAACAAAAATCAATGTCTCTGTGTGGCAGCTTACATAGCAGCAGACAAATTATCTCCTACCCTTACAAGATCATGCTCTTAATGTATTGTGTTTCAGGGGTCTGACAGTTATATTTTGCTTTTTACCTTTTGGGAATTGTATTAAGACAACCAGCAACTCCAGTAGTCTCATGCTTGATACTCTTCTTTGGCATATGAACCAGACTACTAGTGCTCCCAGTTAAATAAATAAAAGAACCCAACAAACCACCAAGCAACCAACCCCACTCCCTCAAACTCAGAAGAAAAGCATCAGATCAGTGCTTTTGCAGTATCTGAATAATTACATTGTTTTCCCAGATTGAGAAAGCAAGCCATCGTTTTGCTATCTATCTAAAGAAGATAAAGGAGTTTTAAGCTTAGGAAGCCCTGCACGTTTTTATGTATACCATGCCTTTCTTGGGTTCATTTGTACAGTTGAAGGCACTGGAGGAGACCTCTGTTGACTTCATTAATCACTGGATAGAAGTGTCCTGAAAGCTTTTCTTTTATGCTTTCTAAAAATCAGAATCTGAGGTTTAAAAGCATCTGACTGGAGTGGAGCCTTACTAGGGACATCTCAAGGATCTCAACCATGCACTGCCTGTGTTCCTCTTAGGTCACAGCAAAAGCAAGGTTAATGCGGCTTACCTTGCAAGGAAGAGGGTTGTAGTGACTCAGGTTATGCATGATTGCTTTTTGAGCTGTGATAACTTGATTAGGAATCCAAGTACTAAGCTTTTGCAGTGAAATTCACCTTTTCACAGCGCTCACTCCCAAATAATATCACTTGCAGAGAGAATTAAGTATGGACCCAAACATGTTTTTTTTAACAGCTTGAATATTTGCATTAACAAACCTGCTTCACAGTTTGGGTCTATACAGTTCAGGTTTTTAGATTGTATCTGAACTTGATATTCTGGAGTCAGGCTGAAAGAAAAAGACCGCAGGCATCTCCTACGAATGTTTTACTCAGATGTGTTCTTCCTGCTGTGTGAGGTGATGGGAGCTCTAATAGTTTATATGGTAACTTCTGTACAAAAAAGCACATAAAAATAGTCAAAGGGAAGAAAGCAAATTTCAAAGAGTTGGTTTTGGTGTTTCTTTTCTCATTTTAGTCTGAAGATGAAAATTGTCCCATATGGCTGAACTACTCACATCTTCCCCCACTAGAAAGCAAATCCTTGTGGAGTGAAAATTGGCTTCAGAACCCGAAATACAAAATTAAATTTTTTATACATATTTCAGATCTCAGGTTTTGCATATCTTTGTAGCAGAAATAGTCATTTGACTGAATTTCTCATCAGAAAGTTGAGCTTTAGCAACTCAAAGTCATCCATTGCAAATTACAACTTTCTGCAGAAAAGCCTCACCAGACTCAACAATTCTTATTCAGTTATTACTACTACTAGCCAGTCTGCATTTTTATTTCTAAAGCCCAATATAAACATATGAAAGAATGAAATGTGGAATCTGATTTGAGAAGCAAAATGTAAATGATGCCCCAAAAATAAAATTTCAGAGATTATTTTCTTCCCCATAACTCCCAACCGCCCAACCATAGTCCCAGTCCAGCATTGACCCGGGTCATCCAGATGTAGGACTGTACAGTCTTGTACTGGGACATACAAAAACTCAGGGAATCGTACAACAAAACTTGTACAGCTGTATCTACTCGGATTTACCCAGAACAAAATCTACATCACTTTAGTTTAATTCCAAAGGTTTATTTTGCAATCACTGTGCATGGACATAGTTGATCACACACACGTAAGCCACTTGCAGTACTCGTACAAACACCGTCTTGCAGCTCCTCATCCCAGTGTCACAGACAGGAAAAGAGAACGTGGCACCACACAACACTCACTGACAAACACATGGGCTGTAGACAATTTGATACATTCAACAAGAAAACCAAACGATAAATTGCTGATATTTTCCACTTTGTCTCCTCATTGCTGGAGAAGCTATAGCAGCATAACAACGGAAAAAAACATTACGGAACAACTTGAAGAACACCACAAAACTCTCGTTAGGGTCAGAGATGAGAAAGCCAATGCAGTACCGGCACATCTGAAGTTTCCTCAGAAACTTCCACAAGCCAGGGCAGAGGAGACTGCAGTCACTTTCCCTGGCCAATGAGCAAAGCACCTGCACCCATACACGTCTGGAGACTGGAATTGCTTTTAACCCGTACCACGGGCTGGAGCAAACCCCTGGCGAGACGTGCTACCGCTGTCCCATGGTATACTCAGCACGCAGCAGCTCTCTTTGCAGTTGCACAGAAAGCGCGTATCTGGAGTGTGCCTATCTCACGTAGGGCAAGAGATGGATAAATGGGGTTGCACAAGAGGAAAACACAATCCCCTGTTGTTAAATCAGTACAAGCCCCTGAGCTGTGATAGGAAATTCTATCAAACCATCTCTTTACCAACACATTCAGAGCTGGGCTCCAAATGTAACTGTAAGGAACTGTAAGACTATTTTGTTGTGTTGCAGAAGTCCAACACAACTGCTGTATCAGGCCAACAGGATATTTCATTGAAGATAACCAATGGCAACATCATCAACACATAACGCCTGCAATGTACATGAATGAAAAGTACTAAGTGCTAAGTTCTCCTCACTCTAATAATGGTTTCCAACCCTGCCACCTTGACTCAAATCAGATCACATCATACCATGTTAGCAGCCTTACCTGCAATGTAAGGTAACTCTCAATATGAATGAGAGGGTCTGAACTTGCCAGTCTCGCCCTGCAGGCAGAAGAGGAAGAATTTCTTCCTGAAATTGGCTGGTGGGGTGGCATTCAAACTTATTGTTTACACAACCGTTCACTTAGCAAGCCTCATGTAACACAAGGAATAGGCCACGAGAGCCACGGAAAGATGACGTGCTCATTTGCTATATATATAATTTTAGAAGAGGTTACTAGAAGACATCGTTCTTCAGTTTCCTCTATAGTATTTGATTAGCTTCTGTGTATGGTTATCAGCTGGCATAATCCTGATTCACTCTGTTTCTTAACAGTAGCACCAATATAATAAATCCGATTTTTCATTCTTAATTCTCTTGCTCATATATATTTTAATTTTCTTCCTTGTTGCTGTACCTCTATCCCAGTAAAACAGCATAAATCCTGGCACAAAGGCTCAGATCAATTCTTCTTCTATTACCCAGTAGTGAAATTGCCCTATTAGGTCAGCTTTCAGTGTGTGCAGTAAATATGCCACATATAAATAAATCACAGTATAAAACCACATACATCATTTAGTAGTAACAGCTGAACATTAGGATCTCTGATTTTGATTTACAGTATAATTTACAGTGTAAAAACAATAAACAGCTTATCACTTGGGGAAAAAACAAGTATTGGAAAGCAATTCTTCATTGTGTACATATATGAATATACATATTCGTATATTTTTATATTTGGAATATATTCATATATACATGAATATATATTTTTCCAAAATACCCCCAAATGTATGAATTTCTAGATTAGTAAATATAACTTGTGGAAGCAGCCGGCTCTAACTAAATGCTTCGCTTGCTTCTTGTGCTTTACTCCTAATGGAGAGCAGCCCTAAGACTTACTGACTTTTCATATAAAACAGCTAACTACTTGATTTAAAAGTGCTTATTACCCCCTCAGCATCCAGGTACCTAGAAGGATCAAGAAAAAGTATTATTAAAATTACAAACTGGAAAGATGATGTTCAGAAAAAAAAAATCCCGTGTGGAAGGTGTCACCTAACACCTGACAGCCTGCTGAGTCTTTCTATCACGAAATCAAGCAGACTCTGAGGACAGTTTCACAAAGTATTAAATAGCTTAGAAACTTATTCACGTGAACTAGGCCTGGAGCTTCAGAATCTAATGCCCAAGTGAAAATTAGTGTTTAAATAAGTGGCACCCAAATTCCTCTGGAGATCTGAGTGTTAAGAAATGATACTTATTGGGTCTCAAGGAAATTTTGGCTCCTAAGACTTGTTTTAAAAGGAACTTGAAATGAAAAGCAAAAAACCAATCAGAAACTCCCAACCCTTGAAAAACTCAGCATTAAAAAAAAAAACCAAACACTATAACCTACACATACCATCAGAGTTCTCTCACTTCACCATGAGGCTTAGTTTTCTTTTCATATTAAAGCTTCTATAGCTATTCTTAAAAAAAAAAAAAAAAAAAAAAAAAAAAAAAGATATATCCACAGAAATGCAGTGCCAGCAAATGCAGACACAAGAGGCAACCATATTCCCAGTCGATCAGGATTTACAAGAGAGACAAGGAAACCCATCAGGACCCAGAGCTCTCCATTTATGAGAAGCTAGGAGATGTTGAGACGAAGCAACGGAAATTCAAAATAGCTGGAAAAGGAATGGGATGTCGGGGGGGTGTCACGAGTCTTCTTTCAAGTCCTCAATTCTCACCTGCAACTCTAATGACATATTGGGAAACGTGGAGGAATGCGAGCCAGTACCATTGCAGGTTCACGTGCATCGATTCTTAGCATTTACTTGCTGGGATCTCTTCCCTTTTCCCTGCCTCCTCCTCTTCCTCCTCCTCCTCCTCCTCCTCCCCCGTGGCTGCGCACACACCTCCCCGTGAGCATGCAAAACTCCAGCTTATTTATTTAATCAGCTGCTGCCACTCCCGCCTCTCATTTCCTCAACCATCACCCTAGCTGCTAGCGAATTCACCCGTACTCAAAACATATTGAAGGGGGAAGCAGTTCATGCTGTCACATAAAAAAAAATAAGAGTTGTGCATTGCTATAAACCTACTGAATGAAAAGAGCATGTTTTTCCCATCCCTCGAAAGAGCATCCTGGGTTTACACAATCCCTTTCTTGGTTTCGCCGTTGTCCACCGAAGACGTGAAGTTTGATTCTTGTTCTGCACTCGATTTCCTCTCCCCCGGGTAGTGGTTCATTTCTTGCATTTCTAAAGTTACTTTATTCCTTTTGGCAAATGCCTGGCTGATCTCGTTAAATGTCTTATGTTTTGTTTCAGGCAGGACAAAAAACAGGTAGGCAGCTCCTGCAAAGCAGATGGCAGCAAACACCAGGAAGCAGTAGGTCTGTAACGCACCCTGCAAACAGAAAGCGAAGGAGAAGGTCATTATAAAAGGGGCAAAGGTCCAAAGAAAAGCACCATCAGGAATGGTCTGAAAGAAAAAACGTGTGGTATGGAGCCATTTTTAACCAAGTACAGTAAGTGCTGGCATTCATGGCAAGGCAGAGTGCTTAGTAGTTCATAAAAAATGCATGAATCTTTCTTCCAACACCGCCTGTGGCCCATCGATGGAAAAGCAGGCTCCTGGCAGAGGCACGCAGACCTGCAATCTGGGCGGCGCTGGGAGGCACCAGGCTGAGCTTGGGCACGGCGGCTGTGAGGACACCGGTGGTGGCAGGGCTCCTGCTATGCGTGCCGTTGAACTGAGCCTTGCGCTTCCCCGGCGCTTCTGGAAACAAGGCAGATGCTTCTCCGGATTGCTCTGCATACTGCCTTGCAATTCCTAGGTACAAAAACTGAGGCATGTTTTCGCAATGCTGTGCACCTGTACACAACACATGGGAAACCTGCCATAGCCAGGGGCATTTGCATCGCAGTAATTACAAGCTTTGAGATTTGCAAAATAAACAAGGAAAAAACCCCAAATGACAGACATTTGTATTACTGCTAAGGTTACGGGAGCTTACAGCAGGAAAGAATCCATAAAATGCATTTCTTTCATGCTAGAGACTAGTGCAAGAATTAACTGAAAATGAAGTACAGGCCACATTTGAATGTTTTGTATTTTACTTCACTGCAAAAAAAAAAGGGTATAGACACGAAGACGTTAATTTATAAACTGATTATAAAGGCTCAAACCAAGTAGTAAGAGTTGTGCTTCACTGAAACATAATTATTTCTTGCCGGGTGATTATTAGGTCCTTTAGTAGCTTTCAGCTACATTTCAATAGTACACATTTGAAAAACATTTGATAATTACAACATTGCCAGCTGTGCTTTGCTGAACTAGGAGGAGGTTTGGTACTGTGGCTCCAAGGAGACCTGCCAGCCTCTGAGGAAACCCCCCTTCCTCCTCTGTTGATTTACCCTCACTCTGTGTTCCGAAAACCATGTCCAATGAACACATATTTTTGACTGCTTTTTATTAACAAGGCTGAATTAAACCAAAAGGGGTATCTCCAGCTCCAAAACTAAGGCGACCTTTCCATGAAGTTATGAATGGTGAATAGGAGGAGAGCCGGACCCCTCATGCATCACCCCAGGTGTTGCAAGGCAGAGGTTACCCCAGGGGAAACCACTGAGGATGGAGGAAGCGGACGTGGCTGCCTAGATGTACATATTCACAATTGCCATTAAAGGCACGTATCTGAAACAATTAAGGCAGAGGTAGACAACGAGGTAACCCCGACTGTCCACATTTTTCTAACACAGTCCCGTCATACTTAGTTGTACCAGTCCTACCCTGCAGGCTGGTTAAGCTCCCTGCTTCGGGGGTTCAGGGTGTACGCAATGCCTAGGACTATTTTTATGTTTCACTTGCTCAGTATACATCATATATGGCATGGAAGAAGAACATGAACTTGTGTGTGGAACAAGAAAGAAGAAAAGAAAAAAACCCTTTTCTGCAGCTGCTTTTTAATGCCATGGCTGATTGCCAGCCTGCCTAGTCACAAAGTTTTCTGTGGATAATTCATTACCTAGTTCAGCCCTTCAACTCCTGTCTGTAATAGGAAAAGCTGGAAGGTGCACCCTCTGGTACTGCCTATGGACTCTTGAGATCATCAGTGCCTTTTTTGTTAAATCCTAGAACCACGAACTCCTGAGCAACCTGACAATCACAAGCCAAAGAGCAGGGATGACGAGGGGGGAAAATATTCCAGTATGGGAACAGATAGGACTTTCAAGCTTATACACAGGCAGAAGCAAATGGATTTAGTAGACAGGAAAAAAATAACTTCACAGTGCCTCATAGATCATCCTGTCATGTTAAGAATTCAAATTCTGCATCTGGATCTTCTGCATTTGAAATTGCTGTTCAGCCAAATGGTAAAACTCCAATCTGGAATCACTTTTAAAAGTCTTGATTGAACTAAACCTTCTCTGTGATGAAAAAGAACTATCAATGCCTAGCATGAATAAGCCTGGCACTCCGATGCCCCAAGCTACCTGCGTCTCTTGGTGGTGCAACTACAGCTTTGTCCCACCTTTCTTATTCCTGTTTATTTCTTTGCTGTCCATGATCTAAATGAGCATTTATTATCTTCTTTGATTTGTGTCTCCTTAAACCTTTCCTAACTGAACTAAACAGTCCCATGAGTGCCTATTTTAGTTGAAATTATTTTGCATACGTATTTACATTTATTGGTAATAAACTTGCTCTCGTTAATTTCTGCAGATCCCTTTAGAAGTAGCCCCCAAGGACCTCCAACTAAAGCCCCACAGAGAACAAGCTAAAAATTAAACTTTGTTATAAATCCTACAAATGGGACTGTGGGAAGAGACCGAGACTTTGCTTTGCTTGTGTTAAGCAGGATTAGCACAACAGAGCCCTAATTCCCAGACGGGAACACTGCAGGGTGACCCCCAATGCCCTTTTCTCACCAGCTATAGTATTTCCTTAAAGCTGTTTGTTATTTTACACACATGGGAAAGACAAACACTCATATTCATAAAACTTTCGCAACTCATTCAGAGTTCAACTTGTATCACCCAAACCTGCAGTTGGCACAGAAGAAAATCATGTGTGATTTAAATTACTTGTTGTAAGCACAAAACCTTCTGCCTGCTCTGCACACTGACAAAGGACGTAGGAGAGAAGTACAGGATAAAGCAGAAGGAAAATGTTACATCCCGAATCTTAACTTAATAGAAACCCTTAGTAGGACATGGGTGGAATACAGCTCAGCCTAAATGTTGAATTCATTTTTATCTGTTTCTGATGTATTCTGAATTGCCTGGTGCTGGAAGAAAGATCTGAGGGGTGGAACAATTAATAGGCTGGCCACAGCATATCTGATGTGCCCATCAAGGGATCCAGAAGGCAGCATAATGTGTTGGGAAAAGGGTAAATGCCGAGTTATTGAATGATGGCTACTACAGAAAAGGTACTGATAGATCTGACAGCAAAATGGATGTGTCTTTGTTCCATGAAATTACTATACTTTCTCTTATTTCTATTCTATTCTAATCTATTCTATTCTATATTATTTCTATCATGCCCATGAAGCCTGTATCTCTCATTTACTCTTTGACATCTCTAACATCCAAATCCATAGCCTCTCTTTGGTTCACTCCTTCCAACTTTCTAGAGACAAGACGTGTACAAAGATCATGCAGCTGCCACTCTAGAACTAAAACCCCAGAGTTTTTGCTTATCTTGGGCTGGGGTGGGAGTAAAACACTGAGGAAGAACTTCAATTAAAGTCTTTGGTGGCAAAGCACAGACACTCTGCAACTCTGTGCATTCGGCCCAACAGTCACGGTCTCAGGATCCTTTACTGACATGTGTATTCTTAATGATATGAGAATAATGACAACATATATGACAAAATTTGAAAAGATATTTTTCTATGCTTTGTGACATTATTTCACTAACTACATGGGATAGAAGCCTCAGTGTTCAAAAACCGAATACTTTTACCCACCTGAAGAGTAGTTTGACTCTTAATAAGAAATACCGTATCCAAACAGCTGGAGGGGAGGGTTAAAAGAGGAAGGGAAAGGCAGGAGAAGCAGCAAAAGTAAGCCAATTCTGAATGGAAATCCTAACTAAATATAGAATAAATTCAAGGAAAGTATGTGGTTTCTGTTACTTCTCAGCTTTCCCACGTGAGGACGGGTTACTTCCTTACACCCAGCTCCTAGCAGCAGCAGCAGCATCAAGTCGGGCCACGCAGGAGGCACGGAGCCAGCCCCAGCCACTGAGGCCAGACCCTTCAGGCTGCCTGCACACACCGCCCGGGTTCAGGACAAGCTGCCACCATCACCAAGGTGCTTCTCCTCCTCCTACACCAGACAGGCTTGCCAGAGCAGGAAGACACTTCTTTAGCAATGCTTGAAGCCAGGCTTTTACATGCGAGGTTAGAACCCAAAAGCTTGGAAGGAAGACAGAACAAAGCACTACAACAGTCCGTGCTTTGTAACTGGTTTTCCCTAATATTTCTGCGGTACGCCCTCCTGCATGAACACCCAAGGTTCAAGGTTGCCCGAAGTTTCAGGTGGTTTCCTAAATAACAGTGGCTCAGTCTCCTGATGAGCCCACAGACACCCGTTCAGAGCCAAGGTCAGATACACAGGCGGAGGTCCTTGAGAGGCCAGGCTAGTGCAACAGGGGAGGGCAAGGGACAGCAGACACACTTACCAACGCAATCTCCCAAGGAAAGCACCTTGGATACCTATGGCCAGTTCCTAGTTAGTCAGCAGGCTAATAAAACCTTTCCAAAGCAGGATTTATACTGGATTTTTCAAGGCTGGGGAAGGCTATTGCTATACAGGTTATTTAAAAGTTAAGCACAAACTTTTAAACTCATCACCTTCTATTTTCATACCAGCTTTCTAAGGAGGCTATTTAAAACACAGCATTTCTGAAAATGTCCTGCCAGCTGAATCGTGAATTACTCATTTTTATCTTCTCTTTTCTGCGGCTGATCAAGGCTCTGTATTTGTAAAAAAAAGGAAAACCAGGAAACGATTCACCTAAGACACGCATGCAATTACCACAAAAAGAATCAGAGTTGAAGGACTCAGGCAATTACCCCAAATCAGATCCCAGGCATGGCAAGCAATCAAACCTGACTTTGGGGACGAGATGTAGCTGTATAAGCGAGGTGTATGAATAAGTAGGTGCATTCCAGCCACATTTTCTTAAGCAAAGAGGTTAACAAACATATTCCCAGCTTGCGTAGGGCTGCTATACGCCTTAGGCAGAATGCACAAGCATTTCCTCCACCTCTCTTTAAATAAAATGGTAATGAATACTTAAGTTTTACCATTATGAACAGATTTAAAGTACCCAGAATGAATAAGCAAAAGAGCTCCTTTTTTTCAAGCTGAAACATAAACTGAAACAAACAAAAA